CAATAAAGAAATTCAATGCAAACAATAAGAACAACACCAAGAATTTACGTGGTTCACTATCGATGTGATAGCTACGTCCACGGGCACCGAGATCGAATGATTTCACTATAAACTGCAAAGATTACAAAGATGATTCTTGTATTTCTCAAGAACGGCTTTCACTCTGTCTCTCTTGACCCTAATACTGATATTAGGGAGGTTTTATATTAATCCCTAATTAAAAGATACTTGGGCAAAAAGATAATAAAATAAGATAACCTAAAACCGCAAAATCCGCGTTCCGTATTTTTCCTTCTCCGCCCGGTCAGACCGGGCAAGGTCTGCCCGATCGGGCGCGAGAAGAAGACTCCATACGAATGCTTCAACGTATCCAACCCCCACCGCCCGGTCAGACCGGGCAAGGTCTGCCCGATCGGGCGAAGGCTCGCCCGGTCGGGCGAAGGCTCGCCCGGTCGGGCGCGAGAGCAGCTTCTTCAACGAATTTGCCAGGCACCTCTTCTTCTTCCGCCCGGTCAGACCGGGCAATGTCCGCCCGATCGGGCGGACAAAGCTACGAAGTACGAGTCACCTAATATACTTATCAACAATCTCCACCTTGACGAGAACTCGTAGTCAGCAAACGACCCCATCAAGACATAGTGAAAAAACATCTCAAGCCAAACCCGATGCAGGACTCATGCATAAGCCATACATCCCGATAAGTCTTCAACCAAGACCCATCACATACTCGTCTCCAAGTATAACAACTCATAATGCTCCACCTGCATCACAAGCCCCGGGCAAGCTCCACCTTAATGCCAACACACCTACACCAGGAGCTCCCCAACTTCGCCCCTCAGGGCCTACTACATCACGTAGTAATCAATATTTAGCAAGTCTAAGCAATGTTTAAACTTGCTAAACGGAACAGGCTTAGTGAAGAAATCAGCCGGGTTGTCAGCAGTCCCAATCTTCTTCACCTTAATCCTCTTGTCAGTACGTAAGAAATGATACCTGACATCAATGTGCTTCGTCCGATCATGGTGTACTTGATCTTTAGCTAAGCAAATCGCACTTAGACTATCACAATACACTGTAGCAAAATCCTGTGCAATACCCAGTTCACCTACTAGGCCTTTGAGCCGAATAGACTCCTTAGCTGCAGAAGTTAGAGCCATATACTCAGCTTCAGTAGTTGACAACGTAACTGATGACTGCAATGTAGACTTCCAACTAACCACAGAACCACCCAAAGTGAACACATAACCAGTCACAGACCTCCTGGTATCCACATCAGCTGCATAATCAGAATCACTGTACCCAGTGACCAAGCATTCCTTACCATTCCCGTACACAAGACCAATATCAGCTGTCCCTCTCAGGTAGCGAAAAATCCTTTTCACCCCTTGCCAGTGTTCCCTCCCAGGTCGAGCCATAAACCTGCTTACAACACTAACAGCATGCGCAATATCCGGCCTAGTACAGACCATAGCATACATCAAACAACCAACCGCGTTTGCATATGGAACTCTAGACATATAAGACAACTCCTCCTCTGATTGAGGTGACATAGACAAAGACAACTTACAACTAACAGTAGTTGGCGTACTTATAGGCTTCGATTTTTCCATCCCAAAACGAGACAAAATCTTTTCAATGTAGCTTTTCTGAGTCAAGAAAAGCTTACCTCTAGCCCGATCCCTGTAGATCTCCATACCCAAAATCTTCCTAGCTGCACCCAAGTCTTTCATGTCAAACTCCGAGTTAAGCATCTCCTTTAATCTAGCAATATCAGATTTATTCTTTGTGGCAACCAACATGTCATCAACATATAACAAAAGATAAATCATGGAACCATTATCCAGCTTACTATGATACACACAGCAATCATATGAATTCCTGTCAAAACCTTGTGAAACCATAAAAGAATCAAACCTTTTGTACCACTGTCGGGGGGATTGCTTAAGTCCATACAATGACTTTAGCAATCTGCAGGCATAGTGTTCCTTTCCAGGAGCTTCGAATCCTTCGGGCTGCTTCATCAGAATCTCCTCCTCCAAATCGCCATGAAGGAAGGCCGTTTTAACATCCAACTGCTCCAGCTCAAGATCAAAATGTGCTACAATTGACAATAACACACGGATAGAAGTATGTCGAACCACAGGTGAGAATATCTCAACAAAGTCAACCCCTTCTACCTGACTGAACCCCTTAGCAACTAGCCTAGCCTTAAAACGTATTTGCTCAGTTTCCGACAACCCTTCTTTCTTCTTGTAAATCCATTTACAACCCACAAGCTTCCTCCCTTCCGGTACCTTTACCAGTTCCCACACTCTGTTCTTGTAAAGGGACTGCATCTCTTCACCCATTGCGGCAAGCCATTGCGCAGACTCACTACAACTAATTGCTTTTTTATATGTGGCAGGTTCAAATGACTCTACATCATCAGCTACACTCAATGCATAACCTGTCATCGCATCAACACAGCAATTTCTTCCCTCCATCTCTTCAATCAATCTAACAGGCTTCTTGATAACTCGTTTAGGCATCTCAAGAATGGTGTCAGGTTGACTAGATGACCCCTGATTAGATTGCTCCACCTCATCCCCAGAGTTAGAATGAGTAGGAGTAATCTCAGGTTCAGGAGTACCCGGCACTGGAACATCAGCATCATCATCAATATATTGTACCCGAGGTAAATCAGCAATGGTAGACTGATGTACCTCAAGTACCCCATCTGTCTGTAATAAATTGTCTCCTTCCCTTCTCAAATCTGAAATCTCTGCATTTTTAATTGAATACATGGTGTTTTCATCGAAAGTAACATCCCTACTAAGAATGACCCGACCCTCCGAAGGTGAAAAAATTCTAAACCCCTTCACACCATCCCCGTACCCAACAAAACACCCCTTCTTGGCTCGTGGATCCAGCTTACCCTCAATAACATGATAATAAGCAACACAACCAAAAATCTTCAAATTCGAAAAATTAGGCAACTTACCACTCCAGATCTCAAACGGAATTTTGGAATCAATTCCAGAATGAGGACCCCTATTAATGACATAACAAGCTGTTAACACAGCTTCACTCCAGTACCTCCTCCCAAGCCCTGCATTGGAGAGCATGCATCGGACTCTCTCTAGCAGTGTCTGATTAACCCGTTCTGCTACACCGTTCTGCTGTGGTGTCTTCCTGACAGTATGATGCCGACCTATACCCTCATCTGCACAGAACTGATTAAACTCGTCTTTGCAAAACTCTAGCCCATTGTCCGTTCGTAGCTTCTTGATCTTCCTTCCTTGTCGATTTTCCACCAAAGCTTTCCATTGCTTGAAAACTTTGAAGGCCTCATCCTTTGACTTAAGCAACCTAAGCCATGTGTATCGGGACTTGTCATCAACAAATGACACAAAATAGTGGTAACCTCCCATACCTTCAACTCTAGATGGACCCCAGCAATCTGAATGGATGTAATCGAGCACTGCATCAGTAATGTGAGCACCCTTGCTGAACTTTGACCTGTGTTTCTTACCAAACACACAATGCTCACAAAATTCAAGGTTGGCAACCTTGACCCCGGATAGAAGACCCCTCTTGGACAATAGCTGCATCCCCTTCTCCCCCATATGACCAAGCCTCATGTGCCAAATCTTAGTCATCTCCTGGTGAGATACAGATGCGCAAACCGCAGAACTAGGCAGTGTAACACCCTCAAAAACATAGAGGGTGTTCCTTTTGATACCCTTAAGTACCAACTCAGAACCTCTGAAAATACACAACTCCCCATCTGAAAACACACCATTGTACCCCAATTCATCCAGGGTACCCAATGAAATCAGATTCTTTCCTAAAGCAGGAACATGCCGTACATTAGTCAAAGTTAACCTCCGCCCATCAACAGTCCTCAACCTCATGGAACCAATACCTGTGACCTTACATGGAGCATTGTTACCGACTATAACCATACCCCCATTGCGAGGTTCATATGTATCAAACCAATCTCGACGTGGACACATATGGAACGAACACCCCGAATCTAGAACCCAGTTATCAGATAAATCATCAGACCTAGCAGAACTGACTAATGCTAAATCTTCCTCTGAATTATAGCTCTCATTCGGTTTCTCTTCAACTACAGCAGCCTGGGACTTGTTTTTCCTCACCGGACAATTATTCCTAAAGTGACCCGGTTCTTTACAGTAATAACATGTTTTAGTAGTAGTTTTACTAGATCCATCCTTGCCGTTTCCAGCACCCGACCCAGCATTGTTCCCCTTGTTAAACCCCTTATTCTTTTTAGACTTTCCGGACTTAACAAATAACCCACTACCATTATCCCCATTATCACTCGTAGCTTTCATTCTGAGTTCCCTAGTATGAAGTGCTGCCTTCACTTCTTCTAAGGTTATAGAATCCTTACCAACAACAAAAGACTCTACAAAATTCTCAAAGCTAGACGGTAGAGATACAAGTAAAATCAACGCAGCATCCTCATCATCAATTTTAACATCTAAATTACGTAAATCAAGCAAAATAGAGTTAAGTTTTTCTAGATGTTCCCGTAAGGAAGTACCTGACTGCATCCGGAGGCTAAACAACCGCTGTTTCAGTAATAATTTGTTGGTCAACGACTTAGTCATATACAATGACTCCAGCTTCAGCCACAATCCAGCCGCCGTTTCCTGATCAGCAACCTCCGTGATGATTTGATCATCAAGACTAAGTAATATGGTAGAGTGTGCCTTCTCTTCCATAACTTCTAACTGCGAGTCAGTCGGTCCGTCTCCTGACTCCGAAGTAGTACTCTTTGGAGCCAACGGACGCCATATCTGCTGTTGTTTTAACAGAGCCTTCATCTTAATTTGCCATAGCCCGAAACTATTTTTCCCGGTAAACTTCTCAATTCTTATTGTTGAATCTCCTGCCATTGTTATCTTCAAGAAACTCTCCAAGGATTGAACCTGAGCTCTTGATACCAATTGTTGTGCGACCTTTGCTTCCGCTGTCGCACAACAATTACACAACCCTTGTGGGGGGTTTATATTTCGAAGTAGCATGACTGGCATTCCTACCTTTAGTTTAAGCTCGTGGTGCGGTAATCCTGGCAATTTTAAGCTGTTTAGATATTCAGTTGGGTATTCTGAGAATTGTTGGTCACATTCAGTAGAAGATAAGCATACTTCATCACAGCTTTTGTAGGTCCTTTCTTCTATGGGCAAGAGGCTCATCATGTACTCGTTTTTGGTGTCTGTGGTCTCATTTAACGGAGTGAGTATAGCCCTTTCCTTTAAATAGTTGTTGTCAGATCTTCTTAGCTCAAAATCTGGGTAAGTGGCTTCCACTATCTTATGTAGTTCAGATACCCCAACGTCAGCCAAATATTCATATGGTATTTCAATCCAAGTCCTTTCAACTTCGTGGTCCTCAGATTTTGTTTCAAGTCTTTCATCACCCATAGCCAAAAGCCACTCGTTAAAATACCTTTTTTCTAAAGTTTTTTGTACATGATTCATAAGCGTTAAAATATCAACTTTTTTAGAGTTGATTTCTTCGGTCCAATCTTAATACTCTGAATTTCAAGTTTTCCAATGGTTGCATTATCTAACTTCTCACTGCATTATAATGATCATATATAAGAGGTATATATATTTAGAAAGAATATTATAAAAAAATAAAATTATTGAAATAACATACCTCCATAAAGATTTCAATTCATCAACCTCGGAAATTTGAAGCTCAATATAAATTTTGGTTGATGCAGAAGTATTTAGATTAATTTTTCCTGTAAACAAAATGACAATGGCAAATTAGGTTATTCCTTGTAAATATTTAAAAAATAATTTATTATAATAACTAATATATGATACTTACCATTAAAATATTTGACCATTGTTGAAGTAACAACTATACCAAAAGGCTTAGTAGAGTCAGCAAGTAGGTCTTTTTGTCTTGAATATTTGGGAAATACATTATCCCAAATCTTTAATTGGATTCGTTGTCCACTAACCATGATATCAAAATACAAATAATTTACTAATAAATATAAAATTAATCAAATATAAATCTTAGTAAATTGTAATTGATAAAATAATAATAATATATACAAATATATTAAAATAATAATTACCATTTATCTTCTATTTCAATTTAATCTCCAATTTCGTTAACAATCATGCCAACCACATCTTGTAGGACAAAGTGATGTACGAAACAAAAAAAATAATTATAAAAAATAATTAAGCAAAAGATAACACTATAGAAATTTTTTAAAAATAAAAATAGAAAATCTGTAAAATATATACCGGGGAGTGTAGCATTACTACGGAACTTATCTAAATGTTGCAATTGAACAAAATCAAATCTATGCAACGGAATTTTATTATTATCTGCAACGCCCTTGACAGTTGTATTTTGAAAAAATTGTATCATTATCTTGTTATCGCTCACAACACGATATTCATTCTTGTTAGGTATAACAGAAAAATATCGAATTGTGTAAACTTTGCCTTCAACCAGTTTAGAACGAAATTGTTGGACAAATTTTCCTTTGATTGAAGCATGGACATAATCACCCTACATATGCAAAAAATATTGTAAGTTAAAATAATATGGTAAGTTACACAATAAATTTTCAAAAAAAGAATTATATATTATTATTAAAAAAAATAAAATAAAAGGCATACCTCTTCGTCAATTAAAACCATGTCCAAACTAATCAAACTATTATGTTTCCGAAAGTTCAATATATCAAAAAGCCTTGACGCGTACTTTAATTTTCCAATCATTTTTGGAAGAATTAAGTTCTCGAATCAACGAAATAGACCTAAGAAAACAATGCAATGAAAAAAAATACGGAGTAGTTCAAAATAATATTATTTGTGAATACCTCATCATATTCATTGTTAATTCATAAAAAAAATTGAGTTTAAGGAATTAGACGTACATTTTCTTAAACCACAATATAAAGTCGTAAATTGCTTTGTATGAAGTATTGCGTGATTCTTTGGTGGCGTGTGGATTAAATTAATGTCTGTTTATAATAATAACAAATCATAAGCTAATTAAAACAATTCATATCTTTTTCCTAACTTAAATTTTATCATTATTAAAATTGTAATCATTATTATCTTTTTCCTAATTAATTTTTTTTTTTCCTTAGAAATAATAATATTTGAAACATATTGACTAATAATATATCAACTATGAGCAAACTAACTTACGTTAAATTTGCTTATCATAATTAAAGGAACAAAGTCAGTAATGTTTGTTAAAAGATAATGCATGTAGGTGAAAAGGATTAATTTTTTAAGTTTTTTTTTTTTAGTACATAAAGATAGATGATAATTATCAATACTTTATTTCTTTATTTATGTTCTTGGTGAGATATATGATCGATTGCTTGGGCCAGTGAAACGTATAGCACATAATTTTTTTTTTTTTTTTAGTACATAAAGATAGATGATATATATTGTTATTTTTCACCTTGACTTTTATAATTTTAATATTTTTTAACCTATGTGGCACACATTAAATCCCAACTCTACATCGCACATTTATGTGGCGCTCTATAATTTTTTTTAAATTAAAAAAATCCTACGTGGCTCTCTACAAACGCGGGAAAAAACTCCCCTTTATATATATATACTAGATGTAAGCCCGTGCGATGCACGGTTCTAATAAATTATTTTATTTAATTTAAAATTTTGTATATTTATGAATATCATTCATTAAATATATGGATAAAATATCTAATATCATAAGATAATTTTTTAATTTTAACACTAAAGTTATCTTTTGTTGTTTTATTAATTTTGTGTGACACTTGAATTTAAAAATCTCAAACCTTATTCACTAATTTTGCTTATATGACAATTTAAATTTTTAATTCATAAAATAAATGACAAATCTAGTTTTTTTTTATTGATCAAAATAAGTTTTTTGTTATGTAATATACTCGTTCTGTTTAAAATGGTAGTCTCATTTATAATTGTTTAACTATTAAAAATTATGGGAGATTAGTCATGTGAGATTTAGTTTTATTCGTCTTAGTCTTTTGCCTATTCGTTTATTTAATATACTCGTTCCGTTTAAAATGTTAGTCTCATTTATAATCATTTAACTATTAAAAATTATGGAAAATTAGTCATATGAGATTTAGTTTTATTCGCGAGTACATTATTAAAATCAAACTTTTATAATATTTGCTAGGAAAAGATTAAAAATATTTGCGATAAAAAATTTGCATCCATATAGATAATTATTACTTAGTGTTTTTTTTTTGTTTTTTTTAAGAGAAGATAATTATTGGTTTTCAAAAATAATTTAAATTTTAATTATTCTCTATTCGTTGTTTTTATGTATGTGTTAAAATTCTTAAATATTATTCGTCACTTTTGCTTAGGTGGCGAGTAAATTTTTTAATTCTAAAATAAATTATTAATCTAATTTTTCATTAGACAAAATAAGACCTTTTCTTATGTGATTAGATTGTTGTAAAACTTATTAATGTTAAATTTTCCAAATTATACCAAGCAGCAGAGTTGTCATCTCTAAATTGTAGACAACTCTGAAGAATTTGTTCTTTACCTCGTTATGAAAGTCTCAAAATTACTTCAAATCACAGACCACATAAGCTCAATTCACAACATAAATCTCAAATAATGAAAACATGCTGTCAATATCTTCTATGATTTTGTCGAAACATTAGACTAAATTTATCTAAGAATCCATCATATACACTTAATGTTGAAACGAAATTTGAAAAATGAGTAAAAACTAAAAATAAAAGTTCTTACCGTGCAAGTGGCTTTAACGATTGTATCAGTTTCGAATTTGGAAGCCATTTCATGTCCTGTCTCGAAAATACCAAGCATCACATCCATGAAATCTAGCTTTCCTTGTGCCTCTTTGGAGCTTCCTCTGTTTTTACGCTCGTCCAGCCACCTTTGAGCTATATGATCAATCTCTTTTGCAACTTTCTTCATTTTTTTCTCGTACCCTCCAATATCAAACCACCTCAGGAAGGGCAGTGCATCAGCAGGGACAAATACAGCTGCCAACTCGAAGAAATCCCTGAATACCTTCACACAGTTGTTATATTCTTCTCCTTGGTAACATTCCTTCATTGACCTGCCCGAAATTAATTTGACTATAGTGTTCATACTTACATCAGTAAACCATTGTTTCATGTCAGTTGATTCAGACCTTACATCTGATATACTCTTCATGGCTGATCTTACCTCTGAGACCCTGACATTTTTTAAACATCTCTACTCGATGGTTTGACAGCAGCTCGATAGTAGTAATCTTACGAATCTCACGCCAATATTGACCATATTGGCTAAACCCCAACATAGCACCATTGTAAGCCAAGTGTTCTACAAAGATTGTTTGGGGGCGATTTAAAAATACCTTGTCATTGGTGCCGCCTAAGCACTCTTTCGCCATCTCTGCTGTGCTCACGACCAAGGCTCGTTGTACACCGAGCTTAATCATGAAAATTGGACCATATATATCTGCTAATTTCCCCAAGACTATGTGAGGTAGTCCTTTCATAAGATGAAGATGGCCTATTAAAGGCCATGAACTAGATGGTTGAGGGAGTTTTCCGTTAGTATCCGCCTTTTGTTTTCGTCGAAACAGACAGTAGAGAAATAGTATTAAGGCAAGCAAGCTTGCAGCTTCAGCAGAGAACTGAATGGGTAGTCCAAATTTAACTTCCATTTGCATATAATATCTTTTTTTTTTTTTTTTTTTTTGGTGTTAAACTGAGAATATGTGTCACAAGACTATGATTTTGTTCTTTCTGACAACTTATCAATAAAATTGTTCTATGTTTGAATTATAGAATTCCTTGTTTATATGATACTTATGATTTTTAGTTATTTTTATTACTTGTATTTATTAGCCAATGATGTTTAGTTGCTGAAGAAACATCTTTAAACATGATGATGCTTGTACTTTGTTTCTTTTAAATAGCAAATTAAGATTATTGGCATTTGTATTGACTTTTGTTTCAGCGTGATAAACGATTAGTAATAAATTACAACTTGTAAAATTCATTTAAACAGTAGTGTAACAAATACTTTAATGCATTGCCTCTTCCTGAAATATCAGATAAGATTAGATCAAGGAGAAATATGAGACATGGAATCGCACATTCAAGCAAAAATAGCTATGCTAATTATTGGGTCATTGTTGGGGTTCGAATAGGTCTAATCAGGATGGAATGGTCAATTATGATTTGAGTCATGATCACTTTTAGGGTGCGTTTGGTTGGGGGTATTCAACAAAGGGAATGGGAATCAACTGCCCTGATTCTCTTTGATATTGTTTGTTTGACACTTTCTTCCATTTCCTTTACTCTCTCCATTACCCCAAATCCCTCCAACTACATTCCCCACACCCCCCCCCAAGACTTTTCCATTCCCATTCCTTAGCCACCACAACACCACCATATCCAAACCAACCACCACCATCCTACCCTATCCCACCACCCAGCCACCATCGCCGCACCTCCACCATCCCTCGTCGGATCTTCCCTGCCCATCGTCAGAGCTCCCCCGTGCCTCGCCGGAGCTCTCCTCCCCCGAAAAACTCCCCCACTCCCCGCGAAAGCCCTAAAAACCACCGCCTAACCGTCAACACCACTACCATCAACCGACCCAACTTCACCAACATCACCGCCCACCCAAATCACCCTAAACCCACTCGAAAAAAACCCACGCACCCTCCCTGAAAACCACCCACCAAAATCTCCCAAAACCACCTCCCCGAAAACACCCACCGAAATCTCCCAAATTTGACCTAAACCCACCTCACCCAATTCGTCACAAACACCACCCATATCTCCAAAACCTCCAGATCCACCATGAAAACCAAGCAACTAGATCTAATAAAAAAAATTAAAAAAAAATTGAGAGTGAAGAGGGCATCAACGACGGTAGAAGAGCAGCGAAAAAGGTGGGAAACGGTGGTAGGTCATGAGGAGGGTGGTGGCTAATGTGGTGGTGGTGGTAAGTGAATGGCAGATTTAAGGGGTAGTGGTGGATTGGTGGTTGTAGAAAGAGGAGGGTAGTGGTGGTTGAAAATGTGATTCCCTTTGTTTATGTAAAACAAACAATAATACAAAACTGAGGGATTAGCTTTCCTTTCTCCTCATTTCCCTTTGTTGATTCCATTCCGTTTCCCTTGTGTGAACCAAACGGCCCCTAAGTTTTGTTGGGTATCGCATATTGTAGGGTATATGGTGGGCCAAGTGGCGTATAGGGTGAAAGTAATTTGGTTTAAAATCAAATCAAACTGCAAATCAAATCGAATATATAATATAGTTTGATTTTTTAAAAAATATATGATGCGACTTTGTTTGGAAAAATAAAAAATAAATAAAAAATACAGCTTGCGGTGTGGATTCGATTTTAGGTTTAGATAAAACAAAAACCAAACTTTAATGAAATTTTCATCATACACCCAGGTGTACCATGTTTATGGTACACCCACTTAGGATACAAGAGTTATATAAACGCGGAAAGAACATCGTGTGGAAATACAAAGTACACGAGTTAAAAAAAAATGATTCTCTCCTTGATTTAAGGTATTGGTTTGTGGTTTATATTCCTTGATTTATGAAATTAATTTATTATTTACATTCAATATTATTTTTGGTATATAGAATTTCTTTTTTTTTTTTGTTAAGAGAGAAATAAAGTTTTTATAGAGAGAGAAGTCATGATAATTTGGATTTCGAAGTGATTTAATAATTCCCATGAATTTTATAATTAAAAAGGTGTAGTTGACGAATTCGTTGTTGAAGAGAAAAAAATTTCAAAAATTTTGTTTATCTATTTTTCTGTTTTGTTAATATTTTCAAAGGTTGAAGATGATGTTTTTCATATTCTGTTGAATGTTCTTTTATCATTTTTTAAAAATGGAATCAAATATGTTTGGAGTCTAATCAATATGTTTTTTGAGTCCTAAATATATGTTCTTTATATTACAAACAATGTTTTTCAAGGTATATAAATTAAGTATGTTCATTACACTTGAATAATATGTTCTTAAATTTTAAATTTTGAATTTTGAATTTTTGAAATTCAAAAATGAAATTTAAAATTAAATTTGGGTGAAAATAATTTTGGATAGAGAAATTATTCATATCTAAATATTTTGAAATGATTTGACATTAAATTTTTGGTAAAATTCAATTAGTAATTATCTTTTACTTTTTTTTAAATACCATTTATCATAAATTACTTTGTTCTTTATATTTCAGTAATATGTTCTTTTATAAATTCATGATATTCTTTATAACTATATACGATGTTCATTCCACTTTAATCCATGTGTACAATGCGCATGGTACACCTGGGTGTATAAACCACTAATTGAACTTTAAACCGAAATTTAGGCCCAATATCTTAAACAACCCAAACCCCCAAACCCCCTTCATATAAAGTGGATCAGTTCATTTTTATATTTTGGCATTTTCACAATCCCTTTGGTTCTGGGAAAACTTTTGTATACACCCGCTTTTTAGTGATTTACTGTACATCGGGTACACTTTTGTCAGATATAGTGTCACTTTTGTCAAATTTAGTGTCACTTTTGTCAAATTTATCAATAAAGCATAAATAACTCTTATATATGTCACGGTAACTTTTGTGCGTTTTATTGTAACTTTTGCACATTTTATTGTCACTTTATAACGGATGTTCAGTAATTTACTGAACATCCGTTTTATTTAAAATTTTGTGTTGGTTCTGCGGGTCTAGTACCTTTAAATTTGCAAATTTGTGTAGTAACAAAAGACAAAAAAAACACACGAAAACACCTCTAAAAAAATATACAATACTTAACTTTTTTTATTTTCCTACATTAATGTTAAATAAATTTGCTAATATAATTCAACAAATTGTAAAATTGAAACTATATTTTACTATATAATTATCTTTTTGACTTAAATAATTTTTTTTTAAATTTTTTTTGGTTGAAAATCAAAATTATCTGCTCCTACCGAAGAGGATAAAGATTTTAAGTAATTTATTATTTAAGTTCGCAAGTTGTTTGAATTGTACAATTAGTCAAATGTTCAACATCAGAACACCAAAAAAAAGAAGAAATTCGATGATGTATCTAAGAAAAAACCAATTGTTAAAAACTTCTGAACCCCAATTACAAACCACTGAACACCCTACGAAAACCTTTGAACCCCCTACAAAACTTTTGAACCCCAACCACAAACCACTGAACACCTTTCAAAAACTTCTGAACCCCTACAAAAATCTCTGAACCCAAACCATAAACTACTAAACACCCTACAAAAACCTCTCAACCCCCTCAAAAACTTCTGAACCACAACCACAAACCACTGAACACCCTACAAAAACCTCTGAACCCCCTAAAAAAACCTTTTGAACCCCAACCATAAAACACTGAACACCCTTCAAAAACCTCTGAACCCCCTATAAAAACTTCTGAACTCCAATCACAAACCATTGAACACCCTTCAAAAACCTCTGAACCCCTAAAAATTTCTGAACCCCAACCACAAACCACTGAACACCCTACAAAAATCTCTGAAATCCCTATAAAACTTCTGAACACCAACCACAAACCACTAAACACCCTTCAAAAACTTTTGATATGAACCCTTACAAAACCTTTGAACTCCAATCATAAACCACTGAACACCCTTCAAAAACCTCTGAACCCCCTACAAAAACTTCTAAACTACGATCACAAACCACTGAACACCCTTCAAAAACCTCTGAACCCCCAAAAACTTCTGAACCCCAACCACAAACCACTGAACACCGTACAAAAATATCTGAACCCCCTACAAAACTTCTGAACACCAACCACAAACCACTGAACACCCTTTAAAAACTTCTGAACCCTTATAAAAACCTTTAAACCCCAATCATAAACCACTTAACACCCTACAAAAACCTAAACTTATGAACCCCAACCACAAACCACTGAACACCCTAGATGAACCTCTGAACCCCCTACAAAAACTTCCGAACCCCATCCACAAACCACTGAAAACTTGAAAACACTGCTCAGAATGCCAAATGTTCAGATTAATAAATTATAAAGTAGAGAATGCCAAATTTTTAATAAAATTAAAAATATATAGATTTAAAACAAAAATAAGTTCATAAGTAATTTATCGCATATTCAGAATTATAATAAAGATGTTCGAAATTCCAAAAATACATGTTATGTGTTTACAGAAAACGTATCATACGTTCACATTTTTAACTTAAAATGTTCAAAATACTAAAATATAATCAAATTCAGAATTGTTCATAAAAAAATGTACAATTATCACTAAAAAAATCAGAAGAATATAAAAGCTACATATTTCGAAACTCAAACCTAGCCATGGTGATTTAGGTAATGAAATCTCATGAAAAATAATCTCACCATCGTCTTAACCACCTTCTATTTGAGGACGACGCCATTTTTATCTTCACTACTTCATTGTAAAACTCCATTAACAAAGCTTCAAATCGAAGGTTGAAGAAAACAAAATTTGAATTTAATCTATTGTAATGAAGAAATTCACTCTATGGTGATTAAAAATATGAAAGAATTCAATTAAAAGGATGATGAACAAATTCAAGAGAAAGAAAAATAAAATAGAGAGAAAAATAGAGAAGAGAGAAAATAAAAGAGAGAAAAATCAGAAATCAGGAAATTAGAGGAGGAAAGAGAATAGAGATAATATTTTAATTGGTGGTTCACATATAACTATATGCACCATGGTGCATATTATAATTTGCCGACTTAGTATTATGTGCACCATGGTGCACCTAGAAATAGGTGCACCACGACTATACTTTTGAACATTTAGTAAAAAGAATATGAACACGTCACAAAAATTGAACATAAACATGCAATTTTTATGTTCATATTTTATCAAGAAATGTTCATTTTGTATACATTAAATGTTCAGTTTATATTACAAAACTATTGAATTATTACGAGTTAGTTCAAAATTTGTTTGACTCGTAATAATTCAAAATTTGCGATTGTTCAGATTTTTTTTACTAAATGTTCAAAAAAATTTATTGTTCATATTTTTTTACTAAAAGTTCAAAATTATAGGCGTGGTGCATTGCGATTGTTCAGTTTTTTTTACTAAATGTTCAAAATTGTGATGTTCAGATTTTTTTAACTAAATGTTCAAAATTATTGATTGTTCATATTTCTTTTACTAAATGTTCAAAAGTATAGGCATGATGCATTGCAATTGTTCAGATTTTTTAACTAAATGTTCAAAATTTGCGATGTTCAGATGTTTTTACTACATGTTCAAAATTTGCAATTGTTCAGATTTTTTTAATAGTAATATGGTACAGTGAGATTCGAATCTCAAACATATTTATATGGTTTGGTTTTGATTTGGACTGTAAACCACACTGTAAATTGAGCTTTCACCCTGGTGGCGCAAAAGGCTAAGATTAACAAAATATGGGTTAGGCTAGCACCCTGAGTGACAACTCAAACCTCTTTTTAAGGGCCCACCTTTGTGATTTTTTTTTTAATTTTAAATTTTTTTCAATAGATAAATATGAAAAGTATTCAGTAATATCATCTCCTATTTATTCTTTCTAATCAATAACATAATACTAAAACAAACCCTAGAAATGACACGTGTCACTTACTGGTGTTGTTTTTCCCTCCAAAATCACTTTTTTTTTTATCAAATCTTCTTCAAATATATTTACCATATTATTAAAATATATAAACCTTCCTATTTGATCACTATTTTTTTGTCAAACACTAAAATGATTATTGCATATACTGCTAATATAATTATTCATATTATATCTTCATATACACTCAAATCAATAATCTATCAATAATAATAATAATAATAATAATAATAATAATAATAATAATAATAATAATAATAATAATTATATACTAAAGGTGAATTAAAATGACACATAATACATGTCATCACCTCATTAAAAAATTTCACGCCTAAATTCCTTTCCATTTTTGATTATTTTTGTTTGTTTTAATTTGTTTTATATAATAACCTATAATCTTTTCTGTTAGATTTCGGGAAAACTCCTCAATCTGGAGTGTGTACCATTGATCAAATATATAAAGTTTACAACCCTAGGCCTAATCACGTTAGGAATCCTAGATACGATAAACATACAAGATATACAATAAATATATCCTAATCTGCGACAAATATTATCCTAAATATAATATCTATCACACCCCCGCAGTCATAGCGGGAGGAGGTCGTACGCTAAGACTGGATCGAAATTCCAGAAATAATTCTCGCGGTAGGCCTTTAGTGATAATGTCTGCGAACTGATATCTAGTAGGAACATGGAGAACCCGAACCTGTCCCAATGCAACCTTTTCTCGAACAAAATGAATATCCATCTCCACATGTTTGGTGCGTTGGTGTTATACAGGGTTGCCAGAAAGGTAGATAGCACTGACATTATCACAATAAACAATAGTAGCCTGCCGTAGAGGACAATGTAGCTCTAGCAAAAGATTACGGAGCCAACACGCCTCAGAAACAACATTTGCGACGCCTCGATATTCTGCTTCTGCACTCGACTTAGATAATGTATGTTAACGCTTAGATGACCAAGATACAAGGTTGTCCCCAAGAAAGCAACAGTATCCTGATGTGGAACGTCGGGTATCGGGACAACCTCCCCAGTCAGCATCAGTGTAAGTAATAAGCCGATGTGAAACAATAGGATATAAATGTAAACCGTGATCAATGGTACCCTGAACATAACGCAAAATGCGTTTCAATTCCTCATAATGAGGTTCCTGGGGATCATGCATAATTAGACACACCTGTTGTACCGCGTAGGAAATATCTGGCCTGGTGAAAGTGAGGTACTGAAGAGCACCTGCTAAACTGCGATACAAAGTAGGATCCCGAAAAGGTGGCCCTACATCTGCACTAAGTTTGGACTTAGTGTCAACTGGAGTGGTAGCAGGTTTACAAGAGGCCATCCCTGCACGCTATAAAATCTCCTGTGCATACTTTTCCTGAGAGAGTAGCATATAAGAAGGTTTTCGGGTTACTGCAATACCCAAAAAAAAAGCTAAGAGGCCCCAAGTCAGACATGGGAAACTTAGTTTGCAACTGAGAGATGATCCTTGTGCGCAACCTGTCAGATGAAGTAGCTAAAATAATATCATCAACATATAAGAGCAAATATGCCATATCATCTCCCTGTCGGAAAGTAAAGAGAGAGTTGTCACTTTTAGCAATGACAAAACCCAATTTAATAAGAAAATTTGCAAAGCGTTGGTACCAAGCTCTGGGAGCTTGTTTCAAACCATAGAGGGCCTTGCGGAGCCGACAAACATGAGAGGGAGCCCTCTGATCAACAAAACCCGGAGGTTGATGCATATAAACTGTTTCCTGCAAATCACCATGTAAAAAGGCATTTTTGACATCCAGTTGATGTATCGACCATTTCTTGGCCATAGCTAAGCTCAAAACAGTTCTAATAGTGGCCGGTTTAACTACCGGACTGAAAGTTTCATCACAGTCTACACCAACTTCCTACGACCTACCATCACAAACAAGACGAGCTTTGTGCCTTTCAAGATCACCATTAGACTTGAATTTATGTTAAAACAGCCACATACAATTAACAACATTCACCCCCGTTGGCCTAGGCACTAATTCCCATGTCCCTGTTTTAATTAAAGCACTATATTCATCATTCATTGTCGCATTCTAATTATGGTAATTTAAAGCATGTTTATAAGACTTAGGAAGAGGTGATTTATGATGAGGTGGACCCGAAGTGACCAAAGCAGACTGACTATATTTTGGGTTGGGCTTGAAAATGCCTCTCTGACTTCGGGTTACAGGGGGAGAAGAAAGAGGGGGACGTGTGGGCTGTATGGGAGGTGCACCCCTTAAAGGGGGTGGGGTGTAAGGGAGAGTGGGCTGTTGGTTTTGGGATGTGGCAGGCCGAATTGGGGAGTGTCCATGTGGGCTGGTAGGCGAAATAGGCATGTCAGGTTGGGAGTGTTGTGGGCTGGAAGTGTTTGCTGATTTGGTGAGAGTTGCGGGCTGACAGGAGGGGTGTTAGTTGGGGTAGGCAGAGGGCTCCGCAGGTGGGCTGCGGTGTGTGGGTCTGGGCCGCGGCCTGCCTGCGGAGTGGGCTGGTTTGTGACTCCTTGGCGCAAATAAAAATGTGTGAGTAGTGGGGATTGATCATTGAAACCCAAAAAATTGTAATCCTTCAATTGATGATTTTCTATATTCCTATAGGGGAAGTATATATATATATATATATATATATATATATATATATATATATATATATATATATATATATATATATATATATATATATATATATATATATATATATATATATATATATATATATATATATATATATATATATATATATATATATGTTGTCATTTTAATATAAATGTTGTTATAGATGGCAACATAGATATTAATGTTACATTTTTCAAACAATAGTTTTGTTATTGTTATCTTTTCATGCAACAATTATTATATTTGTTGTCTTAGACAAGAAAAAGGTAACACTTTAAGTGACTGTTGCCTTATATAGTCTAGAGCAACACTTTTTTTCTGTTACTTTAGTTCAAGGTAACAGATAAGTATTGTTGCGTTAGATTATTAAGAGTAACATTTATGTAAGTGTTACAATCTTAAGTGTTGCCTATATATATATGAGCAAGTTTGGTAGAGTTGGTGGGGAACTCACCTTGTGACTCTGAGGTCACAAGTTCGAGCCCTACCAACTACTAAATGCTTGGGAGTGACAACATTTTTGAATTATCTTCTTAGATGGCAACATTTTTCATTTGTTGTCTTTGTTAAAGTGTTGCCTTATGTATCATTTTACCTAAGCTTTCAAAATTGTTGCCTTTGAATAAAAATGTGTTGCCTTATGAATAGACAACGGGGGCATAAATTACGCCTCATAAGTGTTGTCTTAGCTACAAGGCAACACTTTTTTTATATTAGGCAATGGTTTTGCATTATTGTTACCTTTGCTTTATTTTGTTGTAGTGACATGACGGGATATGATGGCCTTTTTGGTGGTAAGGTCGAGACACTTATACCCACGATGGTTAGAGGGGTACCCCAAGAAGACACACGGTGTGGAGCGGGGAGCAAGTTTGTGAGGAGCAATGGCCGATAAATTTGGGAAACAAAGACAACCGAAAACCTGAAGATGAGCATATGACGGGTTTCTATGAAACAAAGCTTGAGCCGGGGTTATGTTTTTGAGAGACTTTGTTGGTAAGATGTTTAATAAATATGTGGCGGTCTCAAGGGCATGTGACCAATAAGAAGGAGGCAATGAGGCATGAAAAAGGAGAGTGTGTTTGACATTATTGGTGCGGATCATTCGTTCCATTTTCCCATTTTGAGAAGATGTGTGTGGGCAAGAAAATCTAAAGACCATTCCATTGTCTTCATAAAATTTTTTATACGGATCATTGTCAAATTCACAACCGTGATCACTTTGAAACGATTTTATAGGTCGTTCAAATTGAGTTTGAATGTATTGTCTAAAAATAAGAAAGCTTTGGAAGACTTGAGATTTAGAAGCTAAGGAAATAGTCCACACATAATGGGTGAAATCATCAAGAAGAACCAAATAATACTTATGCCCATTAATACTACGAATAGGAGAGGTCCATAAGTCGGCATGAATAATATCAAACGCACTATAAGTAAAATTATTAGAATCATAAAACGGTAGTCTAACATGTTTCCCAATTTGACAAGAATTGCAAAAATTGGAGTTATGCTCCTTATTACAATCAATTAAATTATGGGTATTTTCATTTTTACCACCTTCAAATAATGACTTTGTCGAATTTACCACCTCCAAAAAAAAAACATTTACTTTACCACCTCATAAAAAAATTAAACATCAGTTTTACCACCTCATCTGAGCTCAGGTGACGGAAACGCTTGTGGGGCCCAGTTAACTGTCACTTCCCTCCAATTTAATTCTTTTAAAATCTATTTCCCTCTGTCTCCTCCTTTTCTCACCTTCCACCTTCCATAATCAATGTCTCACCAAATTTCTCACTTCCTCATCAATTTTCGTCTCTCTTTCCTTTGATTTTTCTTGATTCTCACTGTAACTGCTTCTCTCTCCTTTGAATTTTCTCTTTCTCTCTGTAAAAACTGAAACCCTAGATCAATTTGGGTGGTTGAAATCGAGCTGGAACCACAAAATTGCAACACATCAGCTTCTCTTGTCATCTTCCACAGGGTGAGGGGACCAAAAGCTTGGTAATTTGCTGACAGAAATCGAGATTCCTGACTACAAGAGGTACTTTAAACCCTTTATTAGTACATTTCGTTGGATTTATGGTTGTCAATTGGGGTAAAGTATGCCTTTTTGGGGAATCTGTGAATTAAAGTATTATAAACCCTAATTATGCGAATCTTTGACTGAATTAGAGTGTGCATTTGTTAAATAATTAGTTAATTAGATGTACTTGGTTACTGTTAATTTAGTGCATAGTCAATGTGAATTGCTTTTACTTGCTGTAATTGGTGAATTGGTTTTTGTTGTTTACTGTAATTACTGAAATTGGTTATTGTTGTGTGTGCTTTTGTTGGTGTTGTTACAGAATGTGTTTCGGGGTTTTTTGATGTGTCCTGCGGGAGAGTTACAATTCCAAGAATGCCCTTCGACGCCTGTGCCTGCAAAATCACGAAGACTCCTGGGGGTAGGAGCTCCGCCTCCGACGATCAAGTTAGTAAAGATACGGGAGGTAGAATGCACGTAATGTGGAAGTTACTTCTCGCGTAATGGGAGAATTCTGCAATTAATATTGCTCGGGGTAAGTGTTTTTCTTTTTGAGGAGTATTCAATGTGAACAACAAATGTTCCAACCCCCATTAATGAGGGTCCTTCCACTATTTATAGTGGGGAAGGGATGGTTCCCCTTTTAGGGTTTAGAGGACACGTGTCAGCAGAGGATTGGAGCCCTGCTGACCAACGGCTGGATGCCACGTGTCACTAGGCCATTGGGCCACGTGTTTAGGGTATTTTTACCCCAAACATTTGCCCCTCACTGGTGCTGACGTGGCAGGGTGCCACGTGGCGCCGGTGAAAGGTTTTTTTTTTTTTTTTTTTTTTTTTTTTTACTCTTCAGATTCCTTTTGAAGGATGGAAAAGCAGAAGGCGAAGAGTCACGACTTTTCACCTTCTGGGACAAATTCTATAAATAGGAGAAGATGTCCCCCGAGCTCTCATTTACAAACTTTGCCAAATTTCTGAAGATTTGAGAGCAGCCGGCAATTTGAGAGTTGAGAGCATTCGGTGTTGAGATTCGTTGAGAGCAACCGGTCTACAGACCGTCTGGGTCGTTGCAATCTAGCCAAAGGTTTTCGAGAGGGTAATCAGAGAAACCCAGCCAGATTTTGAACCGCCTGCGTCTTCGCAAGCATCCCAGAGAATATCCAGATTTTCTTCTAGGTACCGTCTCTATTCTTTCTAGCTTTTTCATGTATTTCCGTTTGAGTCTTTTACTCGCATTTTTGTTCATTGGTCCCATAAGTAGATGGACCCCTTATACCCATACCCGGAACCTAGCTGTGAACTCAGCCGGTTTATTAGTACGGCTGAGTCTAGAACTGGGTCTGCCGCCTCTGTTCTTTGGGACAACCCTTTTTCAACACCCATATCGACCGACTTTGTGTCTGTGCAGGACACAATGGCCAGAATCCGGTCTACTGCCAGAGATCCCAACTACAGAAGTGGGAGCTTAGATGAGCAGCCGCCTGAGGTCCCAGCTTCAGGCGGTGAAGTAGAGCATGGAGAGGTAGAGCAGAGAGGCTCACCCGGGGGCGCTCCTAGCACCCCGGGTGATAGCATTTTAATTGAAGAGAGTGCTCCCCTCCAGGAGACCAGAGAGCAGGTAGGCTCTGATAAGGAGGTCTCCAACTCCCCAGCCGGCTCTGATGCCGGTCACGTTCAAAGTAGCAGTAGCAGCTACTTAACCGAATCTGAGGATAGCGAGGAGGCGGAGAGGCCTTCTTGGGATAATAGGAACGATCCTCTCATGATCGCCGTCTCCTCCAAGGACCGCGAGCTCATGCGGGCTGTGCTGCCAGATTTTATCAAACGGCGGCCGCTGGGTGGTGACTATACAATAAAAGTCCCGGCTGCTCTGGGAACAATATGGTGGGAGGATGGACAACCGAACGCGAACGCTTGGTTCGGGAGCTACGAGGCGGCCTTCGTGGCCGGAGTCCGCTTCCCTCTCCACGACACAATAAAAACCATACTTAGGGGGTATGGCCTAGGTCTCTGGCAATTAACCCCCAACTCATGGGTAAATATTTTAGGGTATATCGCCGCCTGCGAGATGCAGGGCCTCAACCCCGGCTGGGAGGCGTTTGCCCACATGCATTACTTGAGTAGGAGCCCAGGCGGCTGGAGAGCCTGGTATACCTTGACCACCCAGCCCAAATACCTTATGACCTTGGACAAGCCATCCAAATGGTCGGACTGGAAGCACCGGTTCTACTTGGTTAAGGCCCCAACTACGGCAGAGAACAGAGAATTCCGGATCTACAACCGGAAACCAGAACTCTTGGGGACCAAGTGCTGCCTGCCCCCTGTCCCGGAGGATGATAGAGAGACCATCCTTGACTCCGGGTTTTTTGAGTTAGTTCCTGACACCCTCTCATCCGGAGAGATAGTAAGGGTACCTAGAAACTGGGTGCCCAAACATGAATTTTTTAGGGACGAATGCTTCTTGTCCGCTTGTGGCCTAAGCAGCATGTTTAAAAAACGTATGTATTCGGAACTCAGCCGGTTTCTTTCGTACCGGATGCTTTTATTTCCTTATTTATTATTCTAACCGTGTGCCTTCCTCTGCAGAAGAAGCCAAGAAAATGCTGCCCACCGAGAAGACACCGGCTAGGTCGGCTGCCGACATTCGGAAAGCCAATCTCGAGAAAAAACTTGCTGCCCAGGCGGCGAAGAAGGTATAACCGTCTGATCCTTCTCGTTTATTTCAATCCTTTTATCCCAACTTATATTTTTCTCGTTTACAGGACGGGAAGCAGATGCCCCGGTCCCTTCAAAAACAGGTCAGGCCTCCGCCGACCCAACAAGAGTCTGCATCCAAGGTGCAGAAGACAGCCGACCGGCAAACTACCGGCGGCAAATCAATAAGGGTCCCAGACGGGCCTGGATCTGCGGATGTGCTTTCTGCCATCCCATTGAGGACCGCAACCGGTCCCTCTGAAGGCCGTTCGGGCCGCCAAGGTAACTTCGACCTTACACTGCTTGATCTGCCCATGCGGGTCAAGTCTTATTCACAGTCTCGATCGCAGCCAGGGGATTCTCCAATCAGCCGGCAATCTATAGGCAGAGCATATGCGAGTTTCTCACCGTCTGTTTCTGGTGCAGATAATTCTCCCCGCTGGCCGGACGGGGCACAATATGCTCGGGCCATGCTGAAAGCCGTCCCTAGGGACGAGAAGGAGGCGATCCCTGGGATCAACTCCTTTAATGCCGACCGGGTGCTGGTCGACCTGGCCGACGTATGCTCCAACAACCATGCGATAATTTTCTTGACGTGCATTTTTAAATATGCAGTATTAACCGGCTGTATCTTTGCAGGCTATGCTGCGCGTAGAGGGGCTCAAACGAGCTTATACCCGCAAGTCTGAGGAGGTAAGGAGAAGCAAACGGGCTGTTGATGACGCCCATATTGTTGCTGACTACTCTTTGTACATGCATGGCTTAGAATCTAAATCTATACGCATGGAACAGGCGGAGAAGACCAAAGCCCTCCAACAGCAGATTGATCAGCTGAAAAACCAAGTTGACCAACTGCAGGCGTCCCTGGATGATGCCAATAAAAAGTTGGAGGAACAGACAGAGCCCCTCCAACGGCTGAGCAAGGCGGAGACTGAAAATGGCCGCCTTGCCAAAGAGAATGAGCACCTGCGCAAAGAGGCGGCTGCTGCCAATGAGAACTTCAAGGCCACCTTGGAGTCGGAGCAGGAGAGGCTCATTGAAGAGAATGAGCATGACTGTGCAAACCGGATGCAACGGGCGTTTTCCCTCATCCACCCGGAGGCGGACTTCACCGTTTGGGAACTCGCCTTCAAATATTCTGATCTTGCCATTCTGGCCGAGGAGGCGAATGAGCCGGGGCCCGGACCCTATGACGCTTGGGTTAGGGAGGAGATTGCGCGACGGCAGGCGGAGGCTGCTGAAGAGGAAGAAGTCGTTCCTGAAGCCGACGCAGCCGCTCACCCTGATCCAACCCAGAACCAACCGGAATAGGACCGGCTCACTGTTCGCCTGGAGTAGCAACTACTTCCCGGCCTGCGTGCCTAGCATTATCTTGTAATAGCGCCGGATGAGATGGGCTAAGCTGTAATAATTTTTATTTTGAATATAAACATTTTCACCGGCTGAGCCGGCTTTTGAATGCTTTTTATGTTTCTGCACTTCAATATTAGAATTCTTGTTATTTTTTATACATATTTCTGCGAGGATAACCAAAAGAACCCCGCCGGTAACACTACCGCTTGGGTCTGCGCAAACAGCAAAGAAATTTGCAAAGGTTGCCAAGAAGACCCCACCGGTAACACCGCCGTCTAGGTCTTCGCAAACTAGGCGAAGAAATTTGCAAGGGTTGCTAAGAAGACCCCACCGGTAACACTGCCGTCTGGGTCTTCGCAAACTAGGCGAAGAAATTTGCAAGGGTTGCCAAGAAGACCCCACCGGTAACACTGCTGTCTGGGTCTTCGCAAACAAGGCGAAGAAATTTGCAAGGGTTGCCAAGAAGACCCCACCGGTAACACTGCCGTCTGGGTCTTCGCAAACTAGGCGAAGAAATTTGCAAGGGTTGCCAAGAAGACCCCACCGGTAACACTGCCGTCTGGGTCTTCGCAAACTAGGCGAAGAAATTTGCAAGGGTTGCCAAGAAGACCCCACCGGTAACACTGCCGTCTGGGTCTTCGCAAACTAGGCGAAGAAATTTGCAAGGGTTGCCAAGAAGACCCCACCGGTAACACTGCCGTCTGGGTCTTCGCAAACTAGGCGAAGAAATTTCGACCCAAAACCAAACCGGATGGCGTCTGGGTAATTGCCCCTGGATAGCGGTCTGGGTCTTTGCAAGCCAGGCGACTATCCATATGATATAGCTCGAATATACACTAAGTGCCAACATTAGATTCGGGAGCCAGTCGGTTTATACTGAATTACCGGTCGGGACTTCGCAAAAGAATCACGCCAGATTAGGATGTCCGTTCACCGGTTGGGCTTATGCAAGCATACCCCTGAATGAATTATGGCCTAGACCAAATGTTTCGGCCTGCTCTTAGAGAGTCAGGCGGCGGTACTGAGTACCGGCTGTCCTTCCAAAAAGTGAGCCGGCTGCAAGTTTGGGGTTGCTAGCCTGCCCTTTTTTGGTGCGAAGGATCGTCAGGCGGATTTGTCCGCCTGTGTGATCGCTTAGAACAATTTACCACCCAAATGGGAGATGTTCTCTTCGATGAATTCACCCGTATGGGTGTCACCGGATGAAAAAATTAGTTACTGGTGCCGCTTGTGGTAGGCACAAGACATGGCGGCTGTATACAAAATTGAATGTAATTCTCATTAGTCATTTGAAAATTTTCAAAAGATGTACAATACTTAGAAGTAGTATTTTTTGAGGTTATCTACATTCCAAGTTCTAGGCAACTTTCTTCCGTCTGGAGTTTCCAGGCGGTAAGTGCCGTCTCGTACTTCTTCAAAGATCCGGTAGGGTCCCTCCCAATTTGGGGTTAATTTGCCTTGTTCATTGGCCCTACCGGTTGCCTCCATTTTGCGAAGCACAAAATCTCCTTCTTTCAAAGGTCTTTTACGAACCCGCTTGTTGTAGGCTCTAGTCATACGCAGACGGTAGATCTCATGACGCAAGGCAGCATTCCCCCTTCGCTCTGGAAGAGCGTCTAATGCCAACCGCATGGCTTCCCAGTTAGCCTCCTCATCATATAAGATAATGCGTAGAGTAGGCTCATAATGTTCAATGGGAAGAACTGCTTCAGTGCCGTATGTCATGAGAAATGGGGTCTCACCGGTTGCCCCCTTTTCGGTTGTCCGGATAGCCTAAAGGACATGAGGTAATTCCTCTGCCCATAGTCCACCGGCTCTTTCTACTTTCTTCTTTATCCCGTCTGAGATCAACTTGTTAAAAGCCTCAACTTGACCGTTTGCCTAAGGACGGCCAACGGATGCAAAACAATGGGAAATTCCTTGGTCTCCCAACCAGGTCTTCAGGACAGGCGTTTCGAACTGCGGTCCGTTGTCGAAAACCATGGACATTGGAACCCCGAACCGGGTGATGACGTTTCTCCAGATGAAAGAAATCACGTCTTTCATTTTAATCCCTTTTACCGCCTCTGCCTCAACCCATTTGGTGAAGTAGTCTACTGCTACAAGAATGTAGCGGCGGCCGCCTGACGCAGGCGTATAAGGTCCCAAAATGTCCATGCCCCATTTAGCAAACGGAACCGGACTATGGATTGCCGTGAGTTCTGTTGCCGGTTGATGTATCAACTTAGCGAATTTTTGGCACTTGTCGCATCTCTTTACTAGATCCATGGCATCCGCTTCAAGAGTGGGCCAGAAGTACCCTTGCCGTCTGGTTCTTCTGGCCAGGGACCTGCCGCCAATATGCGAGGCACAAAACCCCGCGTGCAGATCTTCCAAAACTTCTCTCCCCCTATCCGGGGTTACACATTTCAAAAACGGCTGCAGGTATCCCTTCCGGAGGAGTTCCCCTTGATGCATAACAAAACTTGAAGCACGCTTCTTGAGCGCTGATGCTTCTGAAGGGTCATCCGGCAAGGTACCATCCGTAAAAAAGGACCGGATGGGATCCATCCAGGTAGCAGTTCTGTCCAAGACTCCAATGGGATCATTCTGAATACTTCGTTTTTCAATGACTTCCCAAAAGACCGTCCTAGGAGCATCACCGGAGGCTGATGATGCCAACTTTGAGAGGGCATCCGCCTGATTGTTTTCAGACCGGGGCACCTGTCGCAGATGAAATTCATCGAAGGACCCAGCCTCCTCTTTGACCGCCTGCAAATATTTGATCATAGCCGGATGGGTGGCTTCGTAGTCACCAAGGTATTGGCTAACGATCAGCTGTGAATCTGAGCAGGCGTCGACCTTTCTTGCACCGGCTGCCTTACACATGCGCAATCCGGCTAGCAGGGCTTCATACTCTGCCTCATTGTTGGAGGCTTGGAACTTAAACCGTAGTGCATATTCAAACTTATCCCCTTCCGGGGAATGACAGATAACACCTGCACCACAGCCGTTCACCGTAGAGCTGCCGTCTACAAATAACTTCCAGACCTGATCAGGGTTTTCCGGGTGCACCGGCCTAGTCATCTCGACAATAAAGTCGGCAAACGCCTGACCTTTCACTGCCCGCCTGGGTTCAAAAGTTATCTCAAGGCCTTGTATTTCAACAGCCCACTTGATCATTCTACCGGATGACTCTATAGCAGTCATCGTACGCTTGAGCGGCTGATCTGTGTATACCACAACCGGATGTGCCAAAAAATAAGGCTTCAACCGCTTGACTGCTACGAATAAGGCCAACCCAAATTTTTCGATCATGGGGTACCGGAGCTCAGCATTTTTTAAGACATGGCTGATGAAGTACACTGGCAGCTGAAATGCCGTCTCTCTCAGCGAGGAGAACGGCACTAAGGGCGTGATCAGAGACGGCTAGGTACATGTACAGAACCTCCCGGGGTAGGGGGCTCACTAGCCTTGGCAAAGAATGCAAGTGCTGCTTAAGCCTCTGGAATGCCGCCTCTGCTTCTTCACCCCATTCAAACCTTGACCTCTTCCTGATTGCCTGAAAGAAATAGAGGCACTTGTCACCTGACCGGCTGAGGAACCTCCCCAATGCCGCCAGACAACCGGTCAACTTCTAGACTTCTTTTACAGTGCGGGGAGACTTCATGTCAATTACCGCCTGTATTTTTTCCGGATTAGCTTCGATGCCTCTTTGGTCAATCAAGAATCCGAGAAACTTCCCAGACTCAACACCAAATACGCATTTCTTTGGGTTAAGCATGACCCGGTGCCGCCTGAGTGTGGTGAAGGTTTCTCGCAGGTCTGCTAGGTGATCCGTCTGTAGCTTGGATTTGACTATCATATCATCGATATACGCCTCTACATTCCTGCCAATCTGGTTGATAAAAACGGTGTTTATCATGCGCTGGAATGTAGCCGGTGCATTCTTCAACCCAAACGGCATCACCGTATAGCAGAATAACCCCTGATCAGTGACAAAAGCCGTCTTCTCCTGATCTTTCTTCCAGAGAGGTATTTGATGAAGCCGGAATAAGCATCCATAAAGCTCATTAACGCATGGCCGGCTGTTGAGTCGACTAGGCTGTCAATCTTTGGAAGCGGGTAGCTATCTTTTGGGCATGCTTTGTTCAGATCTGTGTAATCCACACACATCCGCCAAGTACCGTTCGGCTTCTTTACTAGAACGACATTTGCCACCCAATCCGGGTAGTAGCATTGCCTAATGAATCCAGCATCCAACAGCCTTTTGACCTCAGCCGCTGCCGCTTGAGATCTTTCTCCACCATGATCCCTCTTTTTCTGCCTAACCGGCTGCTTTTTGGGATCTACGGCTAGCTTGTGGACAGCAAGATCCGGGCTGACGCCTGGCATCTCTTCCACTTCAAAGGCAAAGATGTCTTTGAATTCCTTCAGCAGCTGGAGCAAACCTTTTCCCAACCGTTCGAAGGCTACCGTCCCGACCTTGACTGTTCTTTCAGGACGGCTGTCATCTAGGATGACATCAAGGCAGTCACCAGCCGGCTGAGGTCGTTGGTCATCTGACCTTTCCCCGGCTAGTGATTGCTATTTCTCCTTTTTGACGGGTGCCAGTTGGTCCGCCTTTCTTTTCATACCGGCTGCCCTTGGAGCCGGGACTGCTGGGTCGCAGTTATCAATATCTATGGGCTCGCCCTGGCCGGCTGCACCCATAGTTGTCTTGACGTCAGAGAGATAGCACTCTCTTGCCGTCTTCTGGTCCCCGCTTAGGGCACCGACTG